TATATATATATATATATATATATATATATATATATATATATATATATATATATATATATATAGCCAGCGCTTGGGAAGTGATTGCTTTGCGAGCACCGCCATTTTCACCTAGGCTGGAGGTGGAACCTTTACATGCCACGTCGCCCTACATGAGTCTGGTGGGGCAACCGGATAAGCAATGCTGAGGTTAGACGCAGAGTGCTACGCAGTTTCGTTCGTCCACTGGAACATGTGGTCAACCTTCCTAGACTACGGTGGTTGGGACATGTGTTACATGCGCCACCAAATAGATTGTCATGTCGTGCGAAGTTTTGCCGAGGTGGGCAATGGGTGGTAAAACGAAGATTTGGTATGCAGGTATCCATACCATGGCCAGGAGGCTCAGTCATATAGGCCACGTTGGATTCCCCGGATAGGGCCCTTGGGGTTAAGGGAACCGATGTTTAGAGACACTGAGTGCTGTACACCGTGACTCTAGTGCATCTTCTCAATCTTTGTGCTACCTTAATTGACCAGGATCCTTGATCTCCTCTTTGAAGCTACTCTTAACATTTCAATCTTCCTTCCACTCTTTTGTTGAAATGAGCGGTCAAAAAACAGCAGCTAAAAGCATCGCATGAAACTGCTTGTTTACTAGTAAAAACCAAAAAACTGACGCATAGATGGACGCGAAAACATGCATAAAAGAGCGGTGTTATCTACAAAAAAAAAACTGTAAGAATTGCCCAAAACACCATATTGGACAAACTGAAAGAAACCAGACATCAAGGATCTGTAAACAGCAGTCGGCATTCAGCGGACATGACCCACTGTCTTTGATTTCTCTCCACGAAGACCAAGAAGGATATCAGTTTGACTTCGAATCAGTGAGAATTATCGACCAAGCCCGATCAAAATACGCCAGAGGATTTCTCGAAGTCTGGTATTCTTCAATCAACTCGATAAACAGACACATCGAACTGGATCACATGAACACGCCAATGCAACTCAAGGATCAAATAACACAACAAAACAGGTCACGCAGTGACCTGAGAACGGAACGAAACCGCAATCCGGACGAAAGGAAAACGCCCTCTCCTCCCATTCTCACTCCTTCGCACCAGTTCAACGGCGAAACGAGTCGAACATAGTACGAACAAGGGACAAAAGTAGTCGGTGGAGAAGAACACATATAAATGAATGGGTATAAGCAGAACACTGCCACTTTACAAGCACGGATGATGTCACCTCGGCTGATGATGAAACGTTTGCAAACAAATTACCAAGCCCTGCGAACAGGCGGAATGAAAGAAAGTACGTATAAACACTTGATTACATTTATCTAAACGGAAAACAATCAGTAGTCTGTTTTCTTTTCTATCGTGCTCTTTATTTGATCCTTTGCTGTACCATGGTAAAGAAAATATGTACATGCTTTTACCATTTTCCGTTCATGCTGAAATTCACAAATGCATGGACCATGATAACCACCGATCTGTTACTCCTCTCTTTGACTCATTTTGATCGACTGCGTCCCGAACTAATTCGTTCAAGCGTGTTTGGGGTCACTGGGCCAATTATTGGTCTTCGAAGCTCTGTGCAAACAGGCAAATGCAAATTCGTTCAAGGTCACACACCCCTCCCCACCCCCATCATTTTGGAAGAAGCCGTGCTGCTCGGGTACTTTTCGTCCTAACGGCACTATGCGTTAGCGGTAGATATCGCACTGCACAGAAAATATGCTAAGCTTGGCAAACATATGACATCGTTAACTGTGAAGATGTTCGAGAACACCGAAAATCGTTGATAAGTACGTTATCTGTTTTCGGTAACCATTGTGAAAACGTGATGAGAGCACATTTTAACCTTGTGATTGGTCTAGGTCAGGGTTTTTGAGGCCTACCACGTGTGTGCGCAATGGATTTACACACGTGTGCATGTACATTCGTAAGTCGCCAAGACCAACCAAAAGGGAAATGAATACACCAAAGAAAGCGATCTTGTGGGACTTCACGGTCTACACGAAATCGATTAACCAATTACCTATGGTGTAGATTTTCTTTGTAGTTGCTCTCTTTCTCTTGATAATGTTTCGTCGGAACAAATCGTTCTTGCTCGATGGATTAGACAACGCTCTAGGTTTTGTTTTTGCTTGATCAGCATTCTACTGTAGAAGTTTATTTATTGCCCATTCCGCGTTTGCTTTCTATACACGCTCCTGGTCTGTTTAATGATCACTGGGGATATTTCGACAAACTTATTTAAATGTTACTTGTAGAGCATTTGTTCCTGAGTATTTCTTTGTTTAACTAGATTATCGAGGCTATTAGCACTACAAAGAATTCTTGTAACCTCTTTTTAACATACTTATTAGTGGGTTTATTCAATTCCGCTTAGTAGTTGATTGTGTCATGCGAACGTACTCTGGGCTGTCACAGTGCAGCGGAATGGTCGGAGATGCGAGACAGGACATCTATCCCTCGGCTCTTATTCTAGCAGCGGGAGACGATACGAGGCTTTGCGGGTGACGAACGACGGCGGGGAACAGCGGTAGAGAGGCGGGACACGGGTTGGCGAGAAAACACTGGCAGACAGGTCTTCCGTGGGTCGGGGTTAAAGTTAAATCTCTGAGGCAAAGCAGACAAAACGCCATGAACCAAAAAGATCCAAGTCAAGTCAAAAATTGCATTATTCATCCGAATGGATGGATTCTCAGCTTCTTGCATACCAGGATCATTTATCATTGTATACAGTCACAGATAAAAAGGGAAAACAGCATCACAAAGTTAAAGGAATGTGGTGTAAAAGTTGGAAAATGGACAATAATTACGTAGGAAATTCAAAACGTTTTCTCTAGCGGATGCCTTTTGAGTCAGAAATGTCGAAAGATATGGAAAAATGTAGAGAGAGAGGGAGATCCTAGCACTTACGATAAAATATTACTGGCGCTGTTGCCAAGCATTTCATGAGACAATTTCTGTATATGTTCGACTGAGATAAGCTATAACTTTTTCCATCTGGAGTTTCAGCGTAACTTTATCTTGTCAATAAAAGTAGATATTTTCTTTCCGATTCATAAGAGTTGAGTTGA